CAATTATCCAAAATTTTGAACTCTTGAAAGAGCATCACAAAATTAGTAATATTCCAAAGTTTCGTTGCAAAATGTTGTAAAATGCGGATAATAAGCCTTGCGAAGTTTGCAATTTTCAGTTATTTTAGATTACAAACGGGAAATGGTTACCACTTCTGTGCGGTAACCATTTTTCGCAAGGCTATATTATCCGCATTTTACAACATTTCGCAACGAAACTTTGAGATCAAAATGTTGGTTAATTGGGGAATGGTCATTAGGATGAACAATTATATAATGCCCAGCATGAGCTCCACCTTTGAATTTACTATACAGGGTGTATAAAAAAATATAATGCCCAGCATGAGCTCCACCTTTGAATTTACTATTTTGAATTTAAAATTTGAATGCTTTTTCAACTGCACATATGCTGAACCGTAGTGCGTGAAATATTGATGGAGTGCATATATTAAAAAAAGGAGACCTTTCAGAAATCAACCATTGTTATAATTTGAATCCTGGAGCACTTTGCTAAGCCCACGAGTGCGTAACATGCGATCTACGTACATACTGTACGTAGATCGCATGATTGCGTAGATCGCAGATTGTTCCCAGGAGCAGACAATCTTTTGTTTAAACGTTATTTCAATTTCTAAAGGTCTCCTTTTTCTAATATATGCATATGTGTAATTGAAAAGGCATTCAAATTTTAACACTATGGCTGATTTCTAAAGGTCTAATTAACAATATGGCTGATTTCTATTAGTAAATTGTTAAATTAAACACGTCCGAAGTTATCAATACAATATATAACTCTAATCTTTTTCTGACACTAAACTTGATTACCTTTTTTATTTAATTTTAGATTATTTTAAAGAGTTTAGAGTGCTTTTTTGATGTTTTCTTCGTGACTATGGCACATCCAAACTTTTGTCATTTTTCGCTATTAAAACAAATGTAAAACAGTCAGGACATGCAGTTAGTGATAAAACCAGCATTGAATACTTGAATTTTAACCAAAATGCGAACAAATTTTATTTTTGTTTTTATTTTCTTTTTAATTCTATTGGTTTTAACTGCGATTTGCGCGCATCAGCAAGCTTCAATGTGTCCGTTTCGTAATTGCCTGGGCTTTCCTGCAATGGCCACTCTATTCTTTTATAATGCCATGCGGATCACAGTCATTATCAATCAAACATACTGGTCTATAACGACAATATTCATTGATAACCTCACTAATGACTTTTCCTTCTGGCTATGATATTCTGGCTATAATTCGAATATAATAATACACTACATTTGGAGTTCTCGAAGAAAAACGACGTTCGCGTTATTCTTGCTCAAAAGTCTAACCTGTCTTGCAGGCTTATAATATCAATGTCAATGACAAGGGTGGGTTGACTACAAAATTTCTGTAGTTCGCTTTAGGCCTAACTATACAGCTACTTGTAGTTCGCTACAGTAGCGAACTACAACTACTTCGCTACTACCCACCCTTGGTCAATGAAATGATTGCAAGTCTCGCAAAAGGTATTTAACATTCAGGCTCAAATACAATTAATTTGTCCATTTCTTTATTCTGCATATTGATCTGTCTTAATTTAATTTAAAATAGATAAATAGAAAGCTTATATAAATTTCAAAATTTAATTACTAGTACGTATCATAAACGTTGCTTATTTGTCCGTCTTACCATTGTTCATATAAACTTTGTGTGATGATTAATATTCATGCGTATTTTCAGCGTATATGAACACGAGGGTCCTGAAGGGGTAAAATGGGAACTGAGATTGATCTATTTTTAGACTGGGAAAATGGGATTTGAGTTGCTGGGACTGGGTTTTGGCCACTGGGAATGGGAAATGAAGTCCTCAAAAATGGGAATGGGATTGAGGTACGTAATGCGAGTCGATTCCCAATTTTTCCACGTTTTAAGTATTTTAAAATACAATTTTGATCCGTTTTTGGTGTCTTTGGTCATGATTTTTCTTGTTAACTATATTATTCACACCACTACCTGTGAACAGGCATACACTGTCGCCCGGAATTCTGGGTTTTCTGATTATGCGTCTCCCCAAGTCAGATACACAGCAGAATATTTGCCTGGTTTCCGGTATATATACTTCATTTAACCCTTAAACAAACATTATTTTAAATGCTCGCTTGTGGAAGTAGGTCAATCGATCTTGCTGCGTAAAATACAAGCCGAAAGACTTCTGGAGAATCTTCAAATCCAAAGGGACTGGCTTTTTCCCACCAGACACCATGTTCCTATCTCGTCTGCAGAAGAAAAAGCCGATGCTTTGGACAGGTATTTCGCCTCAATCTTTCGTTCCAATATCCTAAATTCTCACAGTCCTCCTCTTTCAGCATACAGTCAGAATGCTCTTGATTCCATTTCTGTGTCAACCGAAGATGTGAATAATCTCTTCATGTGTCAAGCCTCCCTAAGCTCTACCGACAAAGCTATCGGACCTGATAGATTGTTGAAAGAATGTTCAGACGAAATTACCCCATCTTTAACAGCGCGCGCTCTTCAACAGGGCACTTTGACGTTGCAAAGTTCCTCAGGAATGAAAGGCAGCCAACGTTGTTCTGGTTCATAAGAAAGGTGATGATCATGATATAAATAACTACCGACCAATTTCTTTGCTTTTCCTGGCATCCAAAATTCTGGAACGAGACATCCATATCCATGTATGTGTGATGTTGTAACAGATAATTATATATAATTATAGTCATTATTCTCGGATAAAACTTTGTTTGTATTTTGGTCAGTCCGATTTGAGATATTATTTCGGTACCATTGGTTATTTGATGGGTTATATATTTATTGCTAATCGTAGAAGCAGGGTCGTTGATAGAACTTTGACTGGGGTGAGGTTAGATTTAACTGATTTTTTCAAACTTAACGTTTTTACCTCGACGTCCACCATGGTGGCGCCTCGCAAATTTTTTTTAATATTTGAAGTCTCTAGACCGTCGGAAATGGCATTTTTAGACTCTTTCCTACCCAATATTTTAGTATTGCCTAACAGAGAGGATAAGTATTATTACTTACAGTTTAATGTGACTAGGAAAATTGAGAAAATTTTGGAAATTTGGAGTCTCCAGACCGTCAGAAAGGGTATTTAGCCATATCCCCCTATTTTGACGCCTCTCAAAGTCTTTAGTTGGTCGACTGTTAACCCCTAATTCTGATCCAATAGACAATTCCCATTATAGACTAATTTTAAAACTGTAGGCAAGGACATGCAAATAAATCGCCACAGCTAGAAAGCAAATTCTAAAATGAGTAAAATTGCAAAGTTTGGTTGCGAAATATATATTGTAAGGTGCGGAAAATATAGCCTTGCAAAGTTTGCAAATTTTGTATACTTTTGTATTGCGTGCGGAAGTTGCTACTATTTTTGGCCCAAATGTCGTAGCAATTTCCTCACGCAATACAAAAGTATACAAAATTTGCGAACTTTGCACGGCTATATTTTCCGCATTTTACAACATTTCGCAACCAAACTTTGCAATTGTACTAATTTTAGTATGCTCTTTTCGGGAATATAATTTTTTTCCCAATTAGTCTATAATGGGAATTGTCTATTGTAAACAATTGCTTGATAAAAAGAACTATAGAAGGCATTTATACCTCCTCTGCCAGCGAATATCTGTCAGCGAAAAATAAACATAGATACTTTAATATAGGCCCTTCCGCTACGACAAATAAATACTATACAGATAGTTAATTTAATGACTAAAATAGGTTAGGCTAATAGATTACTTGCTAATAAGGTCACCTCGTAGCCTTTTCTTAGACATCTTTGTATACTCAATTTTCCTAATATCGCGAGGCAGATCATTATACAATGTTGCTCCTCTGTACAATAAAAGACCTTCTCGGGAGGCCGTTTGGTCCCTTGGGCTCGTTTCTTATACGAACACACATTTATTTCCATATGGGCTGACAAAAAGGGCTTGTAGGTTTCGCCATAGTTAATAGAATGCATGGTTTGGAAACTGATTATAACTATCTATGTTATATTAGTCAACGTTTATTCATAAATTTGGTCCTTCACCGTCACGTGCGTATTGTACTTTTGCCCGGGAAACCAATAGAAATGACAAAAGTTACCTATCCGTAACTCGAAAAATAAGGTAAGTTGTAACTTGCTATTTGGTGGATTTTGCAAAAATAGAGTACACACGTGACGGTGAAAGACCGTATTAATGAATAAACATTGACTAACATAGATCATTATCATGTTATTCTAATGAGTTTCCAAACCATCTATTCTATTAACTACGGTTGTGCTCAGGTGAGTTTCCCGGTTAATTAGCTAGGCTCATATGATTGAATATTCGAGATGAATATACTTTAAGAGGCAATTTTCGTAAACTTGTTTTCCTGAACTCTCGCATCTAAATTCCGTTAACACACCCTTTTGAAGTGTGTTATCGGAATTTACATGCACGAGTATAGTGTATTCATGCACACTTTTTTCGGAATAAGATTAGTTCAGTTATATCATAGGCAGCCCAAAAATGCGTGTTAAAACTTTTACCCTCGCGCGTGGCGCTCGGGTATGCATCGAGTCTACTCAGTTTATTATTATGTCATAATAATTTCAACACGCATTTTCGGGCTGCCTATGGTTATATTTGCTGAAATTTGAATAGGCTCTTATCTTTTCCCGCATCTGCAGATTCCGAGTTCCGCATTTCCGTGACCGCGGGTTATCACGGCTGTCGCGGCCATTTTAAAATTCGGACCGGAAATGAACCAACCGCACAAGATGGCGACAAATTACAAACCAAATAATTTTGACAATTTTTGTTCGTTTCCTTGACGAATAAGCAGTTCGCAGGTCATTATATGTCAACTGAAGTTGTGAACAGTTCATGTAACATATCGTCGAACTTAGCATTGTTTTGTGAAGTGCGGATACGATGTCATATTTCAATGATGAGGAAGATGTCGAATTTGTTGAGAAAATCACCATCAGGGTTGGGATTTGTGCAATGAACAAGAAGGTAAGCAGTATGTCTAACCCTAAAGTTGCTACAGCTAGTTCAATGCTGGAATGCTGCCTCTGTCCTGAGCGTTTATTTTAACTCTGCTCAGAAAACATAAAGGATTAAGAGCCCATGCAACTGGTTTGACAGCTCTACACGCGTAAAAATCTCACATCTTGTAGCAAGTCTGCCAACAAGTTACATCTGTCAACCTTAAAATTTTAAAACAGGGAGATTTCGCTATTTAGCCCTTAAAAAACCCGGAGATGTTAGCAGAAATCAGCATTTTCCAAACTTGTCACAGCAACTGGGAACAAGCAGTGCGAACACAACTTGTTGGCAGCTTGTGAACAGATTTGTAAGAACCTGTTTGCAGACCTGTAACAACTTGTGTATTTTTACGTGCATAGGGCTCATCTACACATGTAAAAATGCACAAGTTGTTACAGGTCTGCAAACAAGTTGTTACAAATTTGTTGCTTGTTCGGTGTTAACAACTTGTAACAAGCTCGATGGCATTATCAGTCTTGTTACAAGGTTGTTCTAACAAGTCTGATACAGTCATGATATAACAAGGATGTTGCACGGTTGACAACAGAAGGTTGTAACAATATTGTTATATCGTCACTGTATCAGACTTGTTGGAACAACCTTGCAACAAGTCTGATAATATTGACAAGGTAATTGTTACAACTATTAAAGCTAGGCCATGTAAAGTCTGTAATGTTTACATTTTGAGCTCAGTGCTATGTACAGTTGTAAAATATGATTAGATATATATTATATACTGAATTTTTAACACTCTTCTGGTTCGCTATGCTTGTAAATGAATGCAGACTAGAGATTCAATTCAATAAAGTTCGGAAGGGGCGAAATATTAATAACATTCCAATAATTGCCAGATCCCGACCATTGGAATGTAGGCCTGCGCAGAATTGACTTTTCGTGGTCTTTAACAAGTTGTTCCATACAGTACTGTACATGTTGACAACTTGGGACAAGCAGTGCGAACACAACTTGACGGCTTGTTTGCAGACTTGCTACAAGATGTGAAATTTTTGCATGTGTTTACCAAGGATGCCAGAAGTTGCTTAGGGCAACGGATGCAATTTGTTTTCAAAAGGGCATAATTTATTTGCATAATTTTTTAGCAAATGGGCACAAAGATCAAAGGCCACTTGACTAGTTGTAACATAATTTATTAAAAATCAGAAAGTTGTGAATACAAAACGCCTTTCAGGCATCCCTGAACTATACATACACAATACTGATCAATCATACGATTAGTCATATATGTGAACCACAATCAATCTCTTAGGGTGTGTTTACACACTGTGATTTGTTGTGTATGATTTGTATTCTGGCTAATTTTTTTGTTTATAGTGCAGTTATAAATTTAAATCAGACCTAGCAAAATGGCAGCAAAACTCAAAAATATAAATTTCCTGTGTATAAGTCAAATACAAAACTTCCTGGTTAGGTAAATTTCTGAGAACGTATGGTGCTGCACATTATAATTTGCAGGGCTCAAAATAATGGCCGATCATAGTGACCGAGCACATACTGGCTCTGGGACGAGATTGATTTTTGTGCTGTTGTGGAGCCGTTAAATATTATGTAAGGATTTTCTTTGTATTAAACTTTTCATTTGAATTTAAGTTGTTGAATTTCTGATGCCATCTGCTGGTCAGATAACTTATAATAGACCAAATTAAGAAATGACGAAGTTTATTTTTAAAACTTTATTGTGTTATAATTATACTGCGTACATCTCGGGATCAACAGAATCGACAGTCACAATTGAAGTTGAGAGCGCCGCAAGCTGGAATTTGATTGTTGCTCAATACATTAAGTGATTAATGCGTTGCAGGGAAGCGAGTATTTGTGGGATCTCATGGGAGTTGGCCGGTCAGAAATCGCATTTGACCAGCCACAATTGGAACTGACCAGCATATGTACTCGAATAAATGCATGACTGTACAGATGTCGCATTTCAAACTTCGCCATAAACTGAAAAATAGAACTGTCAGAAGTAGTGGTATCAGCAGTCGTTTTCATATGCCAGAATTAATGACAACTGTATATGAATATATTATGTATATATAATTGCACACCCCAAGCAAGCAGGCAAGTGCTAAGTTACACCACTGGAAGTACTGTCCCTGGCATCACTGTAACGTTGTTCTAACCCCCCCCCCCCTGTTCACTGGACCCTCGCGTTTCAGCTTTGCTAACTGTACCAGTATGCTTTACTTTGTAGAGTCATTCTCGACCCATGAAGGAAATTCTGGATCGTCTTGCAAAATTTGACATGTTTGAAATAGTTGTGTTTTCTGACGAGGTTATCTTAAATCAGCCAGTTGAAGAATGGCCAATTTGTGATGCACTAATTTCATTTTTCTCAAAAGGTATATTGCCAGTTAAGATGTCATTCGTAATCAACATTTTTACAAGCGTTTTGTACAAATCGTACTCTCTGTATGTACACTTGCAAAAATGTTGATAATCATGGATTATAGTCAAAATGTTCTCTCAGACTTTATCCTATAATCTCTATTATCCTTTACAGCCAATAGGCAATTTCAGCTATGGACTAAATTTTGATCTGGGCAAGAAGAACAAAATCCATCACCACAGCTAGAAAGAGCATGTTAAAATTAGTAAAATGAGGAAAATATATAGCCCTGCGAAATTTGCAAATTTTGTATTAATTTGTATTACGCGGGGAAAATGCACCACATTTGGGCCAAAAGTGTTGCACTTTCCCGCGCGTAATAAAGGGTTATTTATAACCGAGAGCGAGGTCTGTACGGGAAAGTATTTGCCTGAGGTTTTCGTACAGACCGAGCGACGAAGGAGCGAGGTCTGTACGGATACACCGAAGGCAAATACTTTCCCGTACAGACCGAGCAAAACGAGGTTAATAAACCGTTTATTATTTAAACACATTTTCTGATTTTCATATATTTGTTTGAGTGCCATAGAGTTTTGAGCTATGCCTATGTTTTATTTGCTAGTTTTCTTCGTTTCGTCTCCGAATATTGTTTACGGAAAAGCATGTTTAACAATCGCTTTAGAACTACTTGTTCGGTAACCCCCACCCCCAGAAAAAATGCTTATAAACCCAGTTTATATGATATTTGTTTACAATATGGTATTAAAGACGTTCAATTCATCTTTATTTATTTTTTGAAACAAGTAAACAAATCAAAAAATTTTCCCGCCAAAACTTACGGTTGCCAGTAAGAGTTCAAACGGCTTGTTTTCTTAGCTTTTTCGATGAAATTTGTGTTGGTACAAGTACTTATTAATATTTCCAAGACTTCTTATTCTTAAAAATGATCCAAGGATACTTTTTCTTCACATAACGACCTTATAAACGTGTAAAAACGTTTCAAATTCGAGCCTGTCAAATTGACATACGGGAAACCGGTCCGGATACAGGAAAATACGGACCACGGTCCGGATACGCATTTTACGGACCGCACGTCGACCAATCAGAATCCAGGATTCTGCA